AGCGGAAATCGAATTTCACTTTTACGGAAAACAGAAACGGAAACGGAATCGAAATTTTTTTCCGCGGAAACGGAAACGGAAACGGAAACGAAAATTCCTCCCATCACTGGTATTTTGTACCACCGAACTGAGGATTCGAGCCCCTAAATTGCTTTGTGCCCCAAAGACTCCACGAGTTTTTGTGCTCTCCGAGGTTTCAAGAACATCAAATTCCGGGTATCCAGGTTATTCTCAACATTTTTATGACTCGAACAACTGTCTAGTCTATAAGATTAGAGAATGGAGATGTTATAATTCGGATTCAATTGTTTTTTGGCTCCTAAAATGTTTTGGATTAGAAGGGATTATTTGTCTAGGTCATCTTTGGGGGAGTTTGAGAACGTAATATTCTTGAAAAAAACTAACCCTTTTCGGTATGGAACATACGTCATCATATCGGCATTCGAATTGGCCGCATCGCCAGGAGTCAGCAGTTTCATGGTGACGCTTCGAGCAGTTGAGGTCATCTGAAATTTTCAAGCTACATGGAAAATATGAGGACGTCAAAAAGTGACCGAAAAAGTGTATCAAAAAGGAACATTTAATATTCGAGAAATATAAGAATAGGCAGTCATCATTCACTTAATATTCCTGGAAAATCATTTTACATCAGCATGGAAAAATTCTTTTCAGAAAAAAGAATCTCGCCTAGTTCATGAATAGATAATCCCGTCGAAAATTCCAGAAATTCAGAACGTTTCTGTTCTATGAAAACAGTAAAAAATAGCATGTCAAAAATCGGGGATTAGATTTTTCCAGGTCTTCTACGTGTCTATATTATGCTCCGCCCATTCTAGGGAAACGTCTGGACTTTTTTAGAAAAAATAGATGGAAGTGGCTACACTCAAAGTGACACCAAAAAGCTTCTAGGAAATGTAAAAAAGGGCGTTTCGAAAAAATTCAAAAATTCAGAGTTTTCTTAAATTCCCATGGGAGTTTTTGTGTGGTCAGTTCAAAAACTCAAGAGCCGCGTGATTTGTTACAGGGATTATGGACTTAAGGGGATTTTGTAGCAAATCCCAAAACTGGTATTTATCATACAGGCTTTTGAGATTTTTGGATTTTCGGTTTTAGGAGAAGATGTTCAAAAATCGGCCAAGTTTGGAAAGTTGAATAATTTTGGGAATCCAAAAGTTTTTTGATCCCGAAATTCTTAAAATTCTAAAATTCTGAATGTTGAAACTTGGAAACTGTGATCTCGAAAGCTGAAAAACTGAAAACTTCAGAAATTCAGAAATTCAGAAATTCAGGAATTCAGAAATTCAGGAATTCAGAAATTCAGCAATTCAGAAATTCAGGAATTCAGAAATTCTGAAATTCAGAAATTCTGAAATTCTGAAATTCAAAAATTCTGAAATTCTGAAATTCAGAAATTCAAAAATTCAGAAATGCAGGAATTCAGAAATTCAGGAATTCAGAAATTCAGAAATTCCAGGAAGTCCAGAAATCCCAGGAAGTCCAGAAATTCCAGGAAATCCAGAAATTCCAGGAAATCCAGAAATTCCGGAATTCCAGGAATTTCCAGGAATACCAGGAAAAGGAATTCCAGAAATTCAGTAATTCAAAAATTCAGAATTTCAGAAATTCAGAAATTCAGAAATTCCAGAAAATTCCAAAATTCCAGGAAGTCCAGAATACTTTTTTAGAAGTTGTCTGAAAACTTCAGATATTGTCTGAAAATACTTTCTGTCTGAGCTGAGAGTACAAAGCATACCATTTGTGAATAGGCTCTTTATAACTTTCATGGACCAAAAAATTCAATTTTCAGACCCGGGGATCATTCAGATTCTTCGGAACAACCAAAACCAAAAAAAACTGACGAAACGAAAAAGAAAGTCAAAACAAAATTTTGAGGGAAAAATTGTATGAAAAAAGTGTCGAACAAGAAATTCGAGAAAAAAACGATTGAGAGATAGAGACGGAAAAAAAATAAATTTCAGCTTTTTTTTGCCTTTTCTGTTCGCCGCTTTTGTTATTTTTTTTTTCAGCCCATCCGTGATGTTTTTGTCATTTTTCTCTTCGATTTTCATTGGTGCATCTTTTTTTGTGTGTTGCCACTGCTTCAAAAAAAAAAACAGAAAACATCATTACTGATTCAACCGAGACCGGATGGCCATCATTGCGTTTGGGTAGACAAAAATGATGATGATGACGATAATGAGGGAATTTTCAGAAAGAAGGAACGGGGATGAAAAGTCAGATGATGATGAGGGGAAGGATGGGAGAATTTAATTGAATTTTTCTGGAATTAGAGGAAAAATAAAGTTGAAAAAAAACAAAAAAAAGAGAAGAGATCATAGACTTTTCTTGGAATTTTGATGATTATAAAGAACCAATTTATAAAAAATTACAAAGAATTTTGTAATGGAAATAATCGGGAAAAAATAAGCAACTGGTCAAATAAAATTGGTTATGGAGGAAATGAAATATTTAGTACATAAATGCGGCCTTAGACAATCTAAGAAAGCCTGAGACAGCCTAAGGCACCTTGAGACAGCCTGATACAGTCTGAAACAACCCAAGACAGCTCGATACAGACTAAGACAGCCTAAGACATCCCGCGACCGCCCGAGACAACCTGAGACAGCCTGAGATAACGCAAGACAGCCTAAGATAGCATAAGACAGCCTAAGACATCCTGAAACAGCTTAAGACAGCCGAGACAGCCTGAGACAGCCTGAGACAGCCTAAGACATCCTAAAAAATCTTGAAAGAGCCCAAGAAAGCCTGAGACATTCTAAGACAGTCTGAGACAGTCTAAGAAAATCTGAGACAGCCTGAAATAGCCTAAACCAGCCTTAGACAGCTTAAGATAGCCTATGACCGCCTAACAGCCTAAGAAAGCCCGAGACAGCCTGTGATAGCTTGGGACAGCCTAAGACAGCCTAACACAATTTAAGACAGTCTAAGACAGCCCGAGACATCCTAAGACAGCCCGAGACAGCCCAAGATCGCCTAAAAACGAGTGTGATGGAAAAGTTGAATGTTTGTAAATTTTTGGAATTTCAGGGAAATTTTATTAGAGTTCAGAAACAGTGTAAAATGGAGCAAAGTTATAGGCTCAAAATGAAACTTTAGGACTGAGCCAATCTGACCCAATAAAAAATAGGTCATAGTAAATATTTGTACTTCTAACACCAAAAAAAGTTACCAACTCCAAAAAGTTGTACAACTATTCAGAGAAAAAGGGTGAAACTTGAACAAATCTGGCCGAGAAGAGCGGAGAAGGACAAACTTTGAAATTCGATATGTTCTTCTTCACTTCAATTTTTCCGAATTTTCCCGATTGGAAGAGAGGAGAAGAAGAAGAAGAAGAAGAAGATTAGTGGAAGATGATGACGAGGAGGAGGTGGAGGCACTTTAGGAAACACACTCATATTTTAGGAGGAGAAGAAGGGCTTCTTCAGAATTTTACACAATGGATCTTTTTGGATTTTTTTCTTGTCTTGTAAGAAAGTCAGAAATGTTGGAGTAGGGTTTGTGGTTTAGACTTTGGTTTCATGGTCAGAAATGTCCTGGATAGGGGATCAGGAGAGTACTGAAAATTAGAAATTCAGAAGTTTGAAATATAAAAAAACATTACCCTCCATAAGCGGCTCAGAAAAATATAAGGGTCCCTGTAATAAAAGGGCCCCCGTAACAGAACGGCCCTCAGTGAAAAAGGACCCCCCCCCCTCTCCCTTCAAAACGTGTTTTGAAATCAGAAAATCAGAAAATTTCCGTACTTATTCAGTGGAAAATGTTCCGGGAAGCCCAAAATTTAATAGAAATTCGTTGAAATTCTATTTTTCAATGAAAATTTTGCTGAATTTTGATGAAATTGGCAGATTTTCATGAATTTTAAACGAAACTTGGTCAAATTTTCCGATGCTAAATTACGGGACAAAAACTGGCAGGAAAAATAAAAGGGTCCCCTTTAATTGAAAGGCTCCTGGTCCTGTAATAGAAGGGCCCTCCGGAGGTACCTTGAAACAATAGAAGGGGCCCTTCTAATACAGGTTTTACGGTAAATTCAAATTAAATTCTCGAAAAAAAACCCTGAAAACTTTTCTACCAAAACTGTGGTTTTATTTACATTTTGAATATCAATTTTTGGATACCAAGAGGGTTCCAAAGTTCCAAAAGACCCAGAGGGTTCCCAAAATATATACCCACAGAGTTCCAAAGAACCTACAGGGTTCCAGAAGGCCTGGTCAGAACATGCGTCCCAGGAAACTTTTGGGCCACTGAAATTTTTCAAAGTGGACGTTGCTTTGACCTAGCTATTTTTAATCAACGAAAAGTTCGGTGGGGCGCGATTTCTGACCAGTGGTTTCCGATGTCTTTCTGGCGGGAGCGTGTTGAAGAGGTACATCAAAATGTTTCAATTAGAAATTTAAAAATTCTAAACACTTTCAGAAACTATAAAATTGTGAGATTTGCTGGAAAATGAATTTACAAAAAAGTATAAGATTGAGGCAAGTTTTGAGTCTTTCTATACATTGACAGTATGACAAAATGACCTATAAACACTCTCCATATTTCCCATAGACCAAAAAACACCTGTCACTTTTTTACAATGTCAAAAAGAATGATTGAAGTGTTTTTTTGCGTTTTACAAGGGGGTGAAAACAAGTGAAAACCAATCTGTCAGAAAATAAAAGATACAAAAATACTACAGATCTCTTTCCCAATTCCATTTTTTTCCCGGGAGCCTCGGAACGATGGGATTGTGTACAAGTAGAGATGAACGAGTGGCTGAGCAAATAGACGTATAAAAAGAGATTTCTGTATTCCTGAATGAGAGAGTGGAGAGAGTGAGAGAGAAACCAGAGAAAGTACTTAAGATATATACATACAAGTAACAACTTTTCGACATTTCCTTTTGGCTATTGGCTTTTCGATTGGTTTGGTGATTTTTTTTTGTACTTGGAAGTGTTCCAATAAGAATTATGTCGTCGCTAATTATTTTTGGCGGAACTATGGCCAAGGATTATGAAGAATAGTGGGTTTTTAAAATTTAAAAATAACCTTGATGCAGTTTGCAACATTTCTTCAGATTACCGTAAACGCTCTAACAGAACGTACCTGCACTTTGAGCGCATATATCTCGGTTCTGATAAGAGATATCAAAAACATGTCAACTGATAAAATGTTTATAATATTATGATAAATATTTTATCAGTTAACAACTTTTTTGATATCTTCTACAGTAACCGTGATAATTGAGCTTAAAGTCGACTGTGTAGGTGACACTCTATTAGAGTACTTACGGTAGCTTAGTGCTCGAATCGTTAGAATTTTAGTTTTGAATATAATTTTCTAAATTTTTTGAAATTTTACAGTTCGGATTTCGACGAGGAGCCCCAAGCCAGAACGGAGCATGAGAAAATTTCGGCATTCGGATATCAGGTGTGTATTTTTAGAAATTCGTTTAAAACGTTTACATTAGTCAGTTTTTTGTTGATTTTCAGTTTTGTTTGAAAGTTTTTTTTCGAGTCTTTTGAGATATCTGACAGAAAAATTATTAGAAACTTCGAAAAATATCGAAAAAAAAAATCTGAAAAAACACTGAAAATTTAGTTTAAAAACTCGAATTTATATGGATCTACCGTAAAACCTGTAGTGAAAATGCCCCAGACTGTCAAGTTTGAGCTCAATTATCTCAATTCCTAGACAAGATATCAAAAATGTGTCAACTGCCAAAATGTTTCTGATATTATGATAAATAATTTATCAATTGACAACTTTTTTATATCTTTGACAGGGACCGAGATAAATCAGCTCAAAGTTTGAAACTAGCATACTTGCGATTGGGCCTTTGCCGGGCCTTCGCATGATCTGCCATAGTTTTTTAGAATCAATAGTTTTAGACCAACTAAATTTACTATGATAAAACTCGGTGAGTACTACAAAATGATATTATTTGGAAAACTGTGTTTTGTCTATGAACAAGGTTACAGACAAAAAACAGAGGCCCGGCCCGGCCTGGGCCCACGCGAAAAGGCACGGCCACTTTATGACGTAACTTTTTTCATAGACAAGACACAGTTTTGCAAGTAGTATCATTTTGTAGTACTTGCCAAGTTCCATCATATCTTATTTAGCTAATCTAAAAACACTGATTCCAAAAGAAACCATGGCGTGGCCCGCGAAGGGCCCGGCAAAGGCCCGGTCGCAAGTATGGAAGCTAGGGGCCCTTTTATTACAGATTTTACGACACATTTTTTTTGCACAAAGTAGAGCAATGAAAAAATTCACCATTTTAACAATCGACCGAAATTTCATGGCCATCAAAAAATGTATAATAAACTGTATTTTAAATTAGCTAAAATTTCAACTAGTCCTTTTTGAGAAAAACGACAAAACATTTTTCAAGATTGGCTGGAATTTTGGATTCTTAACCATCAAAAACATAAAAAAAACATTCGAAACGTCTATTGCTTTAAAGTGTTTTTTCAGCACCACGGATTCTTTCGAGCAGAAATTCCAATTATGCCTCTGACCCTCGCGGTTTTTTGTTGTTTTCTGAATATGGTCGTTCCGGGGACCGGCACTTTTTTGAGCGGGATTTCGGTAATGTGCTGTTCGGATTCAAGAGGATCATCCAAGTTTCGATGTCTAATTGTGAACACTTTGGCGGCGATTCTACAGGTAAACTCTTAATAGACGGGCCCCACTGTCAAGACTGCTAAGTTTGAGCTCAATTATCTTGGTTCTTATCATAGTTGCAAGCGGGCCGGCACGGGCAGTCCGGCTGATAACATGTCCCCAGAAAGAGGCTGGCCGGCTGATAACATGTCCCCAGAAAGAGATTTTCAGACTGTTTTGGTACGAAATGATAGGTCTCGACAGGTCCCGTCACGCCTTTATCATTTGAGCCGAATTCCAGTCCGATAACATGTCGAAAAATATGTTTGAATAACATAAAATCTGTTTTTTGTCAAGTTGGTCGAAAATTGTCATTCAAGCCCAGGTTGCGGCATGTTACCAGAATGGAATTGGGCCTAAATGATACAGGCGTGATGGGCCCTGTAGAGAGCTATCATTTGGTACCAAAATTGTCTGAATATCTAGGGACAAGTCAGCCGGCCCGCCATCTGCCCGGGCCGGCCCGCTTGCAACTATGGTTCATATGAGAGATATCAAAAATACGTCAATTGATAAAATACTTTTGATAGTATGATAAACAGTTTATCAGTTGACACATTTTCTACAACTTATGCAGGAACGGACATAAATTGGCTCAAAGTTCAAAGCTAAGGAAACCTTCTGGAAAACGGCGAAATTCCGGAAGTAGCAGAAAAAATAAACTTCAAAAAAAGGCGAAACACACTAAGAGTAAAAAACGAAAAAAAATTGTCAGAAGGCAGAAGCAAAAAAAGATGTTTCACTTCATTTAATTCCATTTTCATCCTATATCGTAGTTTGTGCTCTTCAAACTGATGTTTGACTTTATTTTTGGAACGAAATTGTACCCAAAAGAGGAAATGGAAATGTTGCAGGAATTAATGAAGTCAAGTTTGCTTTTTTAGGCTTTTTGGTTTTTTGGTCCAAATGGACTTTTCGGGATTTCCTCGAGGATATAGAGGGTCAAAATCAAAAATTCCTCTATATTTAGGAATACCGAATTTTGAAAATCTAAAGAAATCAGTAATGTTGGTTAAAAGCTCATTCTAGAAACCCAAAAAATTCTTTTCCAGTTCCTCCTCTTCCCCCTACTCATCGGTTTCGTTTGGAGCGTCATCTGGGGCATCATGTTTATTCAAATCGCTCGAAACTGGTTCATCTCTGACCTCCATCATCGAACGGACTTTTTGACGTGGTGTCCGTGCAGTAATTGGTAGATAGATATACCGTAAAAGCCTGTAATAGAAGGCTCCCTCAAGTTTGAGCCCAATTATCTCGATTCCTGTTAAAGATAAGAAAACGTTGTCAACTGATAAACCATTTCTGATATCTTGATTTTCTGATATCTTGATTATCAGTTGACAACTTTTTTATATCTTTGACAAAAACCAAGGAAAATTAGCTCAAAGTTAAGGAGCCCTTCTATTACAGGTAGTTAGTTAATTGGCCACTGATTAGCTCAACGAAATGTTACTTGTTCTGTTTTTTTTTTGTATTAATTTGTGATTATGGTATTGAAGCATTTGCAAAAATAAAAATGTTTATTTCATGGCCTAGAAAGGTTCTAGCTGGCCACCCAAAAAATATTTACATTCTCTCAGCGTGACACCTCTCGTAGAACAGATCCAGAACATCATCATCTATTTCTCCCAGTAGAATTCCGCGTTGTTGGATTTCTCGGAACGGGCGGAGCAGTCCTGGAAATGTTTAATTCTTTTTAGATACCGTAAAACCTCTAATAGGCACCCTAACTTTTATCTTTGAGACTATTTTTCTGGGTAACTGTCAAAGATATCAAAAAATTGTCAACGGATAATTCGTTTATCACAATATCAATAACATTTTATCAGTTGACCCATTTTTGATATCTCGCATATGAGCCGAGATAATTGAGTTCAAACTTGGGGCCCTTCTATTTGAGGTTTCGCGATAAGCCTACCTGTCCTATCATTATTGATTCCTGCTGCCAAAATAACTGGAACTGTCAGGTACATATGAATGGATAGTAGGACAAGTACAGTATTCCACGTTTGGGGAAGACGTCGCCCACAAAGAATTCTCAGAAGACGTCGAGAAAGATTTCGAAGGTGGTCGGGATTCATTAGATTCTGTGGCATTTTTTTTTTCTGAAAAAAAAAACATTTGGGAACACTATCGAATACATACTAAAATTGGGTAACAAATCTAATAACTTTTTTTTTCTGGAAGGAAAAAAAACAAACAGAAAATATAATATTTTTGTGTGTGTGGGGAGGCGAAGAGAAAAACATAACATTTTGTTTAGGGGCTCCCCAAGAGCTTCAGTTTTCCGAAAAAGACAAAAAAAAAGTCATTTTCGATTAGGCCAGTGTTCCATGGAGCGTGAAAAATGAGATGAAGAGTGGGGTAAAGGATTGGTTAGGTAGTCATGGAATAATGAATAGAAAAAAGAAGAATGAGGGAAAAAAAGCAAAAGGATTAGGAGAACAAAAAATCACAAAAACAGGAGAAGGTAATCTAGAAAAATCTGAAAAATCTACAACTACACGAATTAAGGAATTTTGTAGTTGACTATAATTTTGAAAACAAAATTTTTTTTTAAAAATCAATGAAGTTCGGTTTTCAAAAAACCGATTTTGAAATTTCCGAACTTTTGTCTGAATATTTTCAAAAAATGGTAACATAAATAGAGCTTTTTTTGTGATATTTCGAAAAATTTCAGACAAAAAGTATTTTCGGACAATTTTGAAATTTTTAGACAGAAGATCTGAAATTTTTGGTCAAAAAGAATTTTCAGACAATATCTGAAGTTTTCAGATATTTTCTGAAATGCTAAAACTCTGAAATTCTAAAATTCTGAAAATCTGCTTCTGGAAATTTCTGAACTTTCAAAAATCAATAGAGCTCGGATTTCAAAAAACCGATTTTGACATCTCAAAACTTTCGTCTGAATATTTTCAGAATATGCCTGAAGATACTTTTTCTGCAAACTCCCGAAGCTGTTCGAAAATTTCACAAATTATCTAAAAATGACCAAAAATTGAATATTTCATTCCTCTGAAATTTTCAGAAAAACTCAGAAATTCAGAAATTCAGAAATTCAGAAATTCAGAAATTCAGAAATTCAGAAATTCAGAAATTCAGAAATTCAGAAATTCAGAAATTCAGAAATTCAGAAATTCAGAAATTCAGAAATTCAGAAATTCAGAAATTCAGAAATTCAGAAATTCAGAAATTCAGAAATTCAGAAATTCAGAAATTCAGAAATTCAGAAATTCAGAAATTCAGAAATTCCAGAAAATTCCTAAATTCCAGGAAGTCCAGAATACTTTTTTCAGAAATTGTCTAAAAACTTGAGATATTGCCTGAAAATACTTTTTGACCGAAGAAAATTTCAGATCTTTTGTCTAAAAATTTCAAAATTGTCCAAAAATACTTTTTGTCTGAAAATGTTGAAATTTCACAAAAAAAAGCTCCATCTATGTTATCATTGTTCGAAAAGTTTTACTCTCAGAAATATTAGGATATTCAATGTTCAATTTGTCATTTCTCATCAGCATTTTATAGAATAGAAGCCATACAATAACATGGTTTTTGGTGTTTGTTTATGTTTTTTGCGATTTTCAGATACAATTTTAGAGCCACTTCTTATTCGAAATTTCTGATTCTTCTTACTTTCCAGAAATCGAAACAAAATTTTAAAAAAATATCGTTTATTCAAAAACCTCCTATACAAGGCTCAAAAAAGTTTCGAGGATCAAAAAAAATAATTATATTGGTGGGAAAGGCAGAGAGACAAAATATAGATTGCGAAATGAAAATGTACACACGATTTTCTGGATTTCTACTTCCTCTTCTCAAATTCTGCTTGAATTTGATCGATCGATTTTCCTTTCGTCTCTGGAACAAACTTCCACGTGTAGAAGATAAAGAATGCGAGGAATCCGGAGAAGATGAAGAAGGAGAATTGACCGAGGAGGTTCTGAAAAAGCAAAGAGGTCATGTTTGAGCTCATTTTGAAGCTGGTGACGTGGCAAGCTCAAAAAGTTGACTCCCAAGGGTCTAGAAGAACTCACATTAATTGGCAAGAAGGTGAGTCCGACCAACAAGTTAGCAGCCCAGTTGACCATGACAGCAATGGAGTTGGCGCTTCCACGAGCAGATGAATCAAAGATTTCGGAGACAAAGAACCATGGGATGGCTCCTGGACCAGTGGCAAACGAGATAACGAAGAGGAGGACAAGAACGATGGCAGAGTAAGAGGCCCACTGAAAAACGAATTTTAGATTTCCTACCAGGAAACCTACAAGGAAACCTATAAGGATTGCTCACCTTATAATCTGGTCCCTGATTTTGAAGTGTCAAAGCTCCGACCAAAAGAAGAGTGGAGAAAAACATTCCAGTGAGTCCAGCCAACAGAAGGGATCGTCTTCCGAACTTTGGATGGTCCACCAACCAAACCGAGATCAATGTCATGATCACATTGACAGCTCCCATTCCGATGGTAGCGTAGAATGGCTCGTTTCCAGTGAGTCCAGCGCCACGGAAGATTACTGTAGAGTAGAACATGGCGACGTTGATACCGGATAGTTGTTGTGCCAACATCATCATGATGGCGATGGACATTGGCCAGAGGAGGGCACCCTTGAACATGTCTCCCATTGTTGGTTTGGCTTGTCCTTGAACAGCAGCCGCCTCATCCTCCATTGCCTGAATTTCAGCAGCCACGTCGTCAGTTCCACGAAGCTTCTTCAACGCGTTTTCAGCTTCTTGCTTCAATCCACGAACTCCCATTGTGTATCTGGAACATATTTTTATTATATTGATAATGTTTCAAAACATCCAGACTTCTGAATCTCGACGTCTTCTGGATTGAGTTTTTCAAAAAATTGACGACGTTAAAGAGATTTCCAATAAAAAATCCCTTCGTTTTTATACACACATGTTTCAAAAAATCGAGAATTCAGTATTATAATGCCTTCTGAATCTAATTTTCACAAAAATTGACGACGTTAGAAAAGTTATTTTTTAAATCTCGTCATTTTGGTACCAATATTGCTAAGGCTTTGAAAAATCAAGAATCCAGAATCTTGACTTCTTCTGAATTCCAGAATCTAGCAAAAGTCCAAAACTCACTTTGGCGACTCTGGACACAAAAGCAAGAGAGACAATTGAAGAACAGCTGGGACGACGGTGAAGGCCAAGATCAGTGGCCAACGGTCTTCGGTACCCAGCAAATGGGGAAGTCCGAAGATTTGGGAGACCAGGATGGCAATGGTGACACACAGTTGTGGTAGGGATCCGAGCATTCCACGAAGGTTGACCGGAGATATTTCTGTCAGGTACATTGGCACGAGTCCCGAGGAGAGTCCTGAAAAAGTCATGGATTTTTTTTAAATCCTGAGATTTTTGAAAATATTACCACAATTGAAACCAATGATGAGTCTACCCAAAATAATCATTGGATAAGCTCCAACCGACTTGGCCAATCCCATAAGTGCAGCAGCTGCCAAAGCCAGGATATTGTTGTAGAACAAGGCTCCACGTCGTCCGACCTTATCAGCCAACCATCCCGACAAAAGTCCTCCTGCCATTCCACCAACAGCGAAAACTGATACAGCCACAGACCAAGCCAAATCGGCATTCTCTCTGGTGAGCTCCTTTCCGAAAAGATCTTTGTGAGATCCGATGATCCATTCAGTGATGAGCTGGAAATTTTTTGAATTCTATTTTATAGGTGAGCAATGACTTACCCCTCCTGGAGCGTTCACACATCCGATATGATATCCGAATTGGAACGAGGCCAACGCGATGACTACTGCCGAGAAGGCCAAGCATTTTGTGAGGCGTCCCTGAAATTGGGATTTTCGAAATTTTGAAATTTTCAATTTTCAATAGGTCCCTCTATTTGCCTCAGGAAAAATAATCTCCTCTGGGACGGATCTCGCAGTTTTCGAAGATTCAGTTTCAGAGTTTCTTAAACTAGAAGACGTCGTTGTCGTCTCTTCTTCAGCGAACATTTTTAAATCTTTGAAATTTTTCAACTTGAATTTTGAACTTTGACACCAAGCCTGGCAAGTCAGCCATAACAGTTGGCTGTGCAAAACTAGGTGAACTTTCGCGAAATGGTTTCACGTTGTTATCTTTTTGGAAATTTGGGATCTCACCTCGACTGGTGCACGTTGCTCCGTCTGGAGGGGTACTGTAACATCATGGTCGTTGACACCCATTTTTGGCGCTGAAAAATTGGCTGATGAAATTAGGGAGCGTGAGACAGAGAGAGAGAGAAATGCAGAAAAACAAAGACTTGATTTTAATTATCCTCCTAATTACCTCAACTCGTAAAGGAGATAGCAAAAAGTGGACGACTGGAAGACGAAGCCATAACTATGAGTTTGATAATATCGATTACCGTAAAAAATATCAAAAATCTGTCAACTACTAAACTGTTTATCATAATATCATCAACGTTTTATTAGTTGACACTTTTTTGATATCCCTTGTATCAACTAAGATAATTAAGATCAAAGTGAACGTCCGCAATTCCGAGATACAAAGTTTTCCCTCTCATTCGGTTCAAAAAGTGCACCGTGCAAAATTTTGAGAGGTGTTAAGAACTAAAATATCGTTTTCTCCTCTTTTCAATCGATGGAAATAAGTAGTATTAAAGGTGTTTGTGTGCGGGTTTTTCTAAATAAGAAACCCCCCCACCTAAATTTCTATATTGTCATTTTTGGATTATTTGCCTATTTACTCAGCTGAACAAGAGGTTTATATACTAGAGTTGAATGGAGGTTCTAATGAATGGAAGACTCCTAGAAGTTTGTGAATTTTAGAAGGAGGAGAAACATTTCGGGAGGGAGTAAAAGATGAGAAGAGTAGGTTGGAATTTCGAAAAATGAAAAAAAGTGTCGTAGAAGAAGAAAATAGAAAGGTAACAAGGGATAGAAAAATGACGAGTGGTGGTTCAGAGAATGAGTTCAAAAAGAATTCCTTGATGTTTGCTTTTTTCTACATCTAGATCATTTTGGCTCATTTCGCAAAAGTCAGCTAATTTGAAAGAAATCTAATTAAAAGCTAATTAGCATAGTGTTTTCCGATTCCTCCGAATTTCAAAAAGTTTATGTTGTTTGTAAAGTTTCTCACAAAATTTGGAATTTTAAATTTTCAGGTTTTCCAGATCTGGGGCTGGAAACTGTCTCAATAATGAAGCCAAACTTATATTTTGGCAAAACCCAAAACGTTCAAATCGAGCGATTCCATTACAGAACCTATAACTTTTGGTGTGAACCATACCAAAACCAAAAAAGAATAAAAGACTGTTCCCATGGGCATATAGATAAGAGAGAGGAAAAGGCACTAAATATGATAAGAGGGGACTGTTTGTTTGATATGGTCACTAACCAACTTCCTAGGTCACAAATAGTAAGAATGCGCTAACTCTTGACCTTATTTATTTTCTATTTTGAGCTCAATTATCTCGGTTCTTGTTGAAGATATCGGAAAGTTAGTGAATTGATAAATTACTGATCATAATATAACCAACAGTTTATCAGTTGACATATTTTTGATATCTCTCATAGGAACCAAGATAATTGAGCTCAAATACGGTATCTTCAAAAAGCCAAGATTATTGAGATATGGTTTAAAAACTAACAGAACAATATCGTTTCTAAAAAGAACTGCAAGTATCGTACCGTACAATAGTATGCAAATCAAAATTGCCATAATCGTGAGAGACCAAACATTTTTTTATGAATTGCAAGTTTTAGTGTACTGGGAGCAGAGGAGAGCTGTATATATGGACTAGATGATGCAAATGTGTGGATATCTAGGATCTACGTGCTCCACATGATGCAAAAATGGGGGTAGGGAGCGGAAAAAGAAGAAGAAGCAGATGACGTTAGGAGGAGTTGTAAAATTCTAAATGGATAAAAAATCAGAGAACTGTTAGAAATTTAAAATAAATTCATTTTGGGTTTTCAAAAACTGCTTTCTCCATTTGTCTGGAATTCCAGAACATGTCGAAAAACCCCAACTTTGAGCTCAATCATCTCGGTTCCTATGAGAGATCTCTAAAATTTGTCAACAAATAAAATATTGGTGATTTTATGATAAATTATTTATCAGTTGACAAAACTTCGATATCTTTAACAGGAATCGAGATATTTGAGCTCAAAGTTAACAGTTCAAGTGGTCTCTTCTCAGAAAATAAGGGTACGGAAAACTCCTTTAACTCTGAAAATAAAATTTTTGAAATCAGAACATTCTGGCACAATCTGACACTAACTTTCTGGTCATTTCCAAAGGAAGAGCAAAGAAAGAAAAGCTGTTTTCTATAGAATTTTCCAGATCAAATTTCCTTCTTTATCCTCCTTTGGCCTGCAGTAAACATGTTAAGAGAACAAGAGATCAAAATAACAAGCAGGGATAAACAAAGAGAATTCTGCCTGTACACTCCCACTCGATTTCCTTTTTATATAAATTCTTTTTTATATAAAAAATTTAGAACCATGTGAAGAATTTGTAGAAAAAACTTCTTTCATTCTAGATATTGCAAAAAAAAAAAATAAGAATGTGTGTCTTTGATCATAGCCGATCATTCCAATATATAATATGGTCTGATTTTATATAAGTCAGAAGGAGAAAAAAAACTAAATAAATCTAGAAAACAGCACGTGGGCTGGACAGACTTAGAAATTGCATCACAACGACAAATCTAGGGGCCTTTTGGAAAAAGGAGAAGAAGAAGAAGGATGGGGCGAAGAAGAAGAAGGCCTCGAAGAGCACAAGAACCCGTGTGGGGGGAGTAATAGAGGGAGTGAGAGAGTATGGCAAATGAAGAGACGTCTAGGGGTGCTAGACAAATATATACTGCCCGAGGAGGAGAGGCTACTAGTGCCGAAGAAGAGAATTGATATGGGTCAAATGTCAGTTGGATAGGTAGTGATGGATTATAAACAATTTGAGAGATAGATAGAGAAGTGGCTATAATGATAAATAAGTTTACACTATTACTGATTGTAAGATATCAATCAAAAAAATGTGTTCCGGTGAAGATGGGGGTCCAGCTCAGAAACCAAGAATCTATTGAGCCTACCTAGCTAATAGAATTGGAATTCCAGATACCAGGAACGTTTGTAATAAATGGTACTATACAAAACTAAACTTTTTTAAATTGGAACATCGTAACCTGTAATAAAAGAGCCCCCTAATCGTAAAACCTACAATAGAGGAACCCTTCAACTTTCACCTTTGAACCAAATTATCTCGATTACTGTCAAAGATATGAAAAATCTGTCAACTGATAGTTTACTTGCCATAATATCATCAATATTTTATCCGTTGACAAGTTTTTGATATCTTTTACAGGAATCGAGATAATTGGGCACAATGTTGATCTTTATTAGATTTGGACCTTTTACGGTACTTTCAACTAATTTTCGTTTTTCGAGGAGAAAAGTCATATATTTTAAAATTAGTAAGTTCGCCTTAAACTCTTTAAAAAATCATCAAAAAAGTTTTCCCTATGATTGGGATAGTTTGTCTCTGTTTTCTAGAATAGGCAAATTACCGTATTTGCTCTAATAGAAGCCGAAGCCCAACCCATACGTGAACTTTGAGGTCAATTATCTCGGTACCTATAAAAGATATCAAAGTTTTGTCAACTGATAAAATGTTGCTGACAATATGTTTGACATTTTATCACTTGACAACTTTTTCATAACTTTGACAGCAATCGAGAAAAATGACCTCAAAGTAGAAACTTTCAAAAAGTGCTTAGAAACATTTTTCCGATAATTGGGATTAAAACTTTGACTTTGCAAATTGAAATAAAAAAAGCGCAACATTCTGTTCTTTGAATCGAATTATTCTTTGAAACCCGATTTTTAATAGAATCGGTAGGTAGTACAATTTATTTCTCTCTCAATCATCACTCCCTTTCTCTCCAAAATTTTCCAAAATGACATGGCAGTATCAATCAAAAACTGGACAACCTAAAATCGGGTGTATAATTGTGTACTTGTTTATGATGAGTGGAATAGAGAAATCTATGATCTCTCTCGCTCCGGCTAATGTGATGATTCGATTTGGCCAAGGACCCGAAGGTCAAGGATAGCTTAGTCCGGGGTATTCAGAATTCAGAATTCAAGAAGTGAAAATAATTGGAAGAAGCGAATGAGAAAACAGTGTTTTATTTCAGCTTATTCAGGAGCCTGAATCAGGCCTGGAACATGTGTAATTTAGTGAAAATTGATAAATTGGCACCTATTCAAATTTGTGCCCCTGTTTACGCCTTCCCACAATTTCTTTTCTATTCAGATGACGTTTTCGGGCGGTTTTTTAGCATTTTCAAGTGCTCAAATCTTTTTTACAAAATTGAAAAGCTCGAGAAAACAAGTTTCTTATTTTTTTTTATTGGTAAATTTTGAGCCTTTTGGCACCTCTTTCTTTTAGTGTTTATTTCATCAACTTCTCGATTTTCCTTAAACAATGTTTTGTTTTTAAATCCTTTTTCTATTATCAAATAACATATTTCTTTTTTCATTTTATTCAAAACAATTCCCCAGTAAATCAATTTTAGCCTTATAAAAATGTCCCTTTTTCACCGAGTTGCCTCCACCTTTCCTCTTCCGCCTGCGTTTCCTAGGCCAGCCAAACTCGGCCACCGAAAATTGGAGATTTTTGCTCCAATTCTCACTCAATTTCTGCTCTTTTTCACCGATTTTTCTTCATTTTGACATTGAAAAGTTAATTTTATTTGTAAAAATACAATTTTCGAATGTTTTTCAGTAAAATGAGGTTACCACTACTGGTAACGATAGCGTTTTTCGCCAGCACATCGGCGATTTTTGAAGATCAAGTTGGGAAATTCGACTGGAGAAAACCGCTGATCGGGTGTCCGGCCAATTTGCATTTCGATAAAGCTGGAAGGTGAACTTTTCAACATTAAAAAGCTGACATTGAACAAAATATGGAAAAAATGATGACGAAAAACCTAAAAAAGCCAAAAAATCTCATCTTCCGTTAAAAATGTTCGAAAAATCGATAAAAACCTAAAAAACAGCTAAGAGTCACCGATTTTGCTCTGACAATTGGAATTTTGAAGCCAAAAAAGAGTTTCCGTTCAAAAAACCCAGCTAAAAACTCTATTTTCCAGCAAATCGGACCGTTTGATCATCTCCACAGAGCAATCGATTCTAGCATCGCTAGTATTGAATACGGGAAATATTGGATGGCGGAAAATCATGGAGGACACTCCAGAAACGCCGAACGGGCAGACATTCACCAAGGATCGAGAATGTGAGCTAAAATTTTGATAATTTTCGGCGGAAGTTTAAAATATCACGAATTCAAGCTTCAAATATTTTTTCTAAACACCAAAAATCAGTTTAAATGACTGAAATTAAATAAAAAACCAGCTGAAAATACGCTGAAATCGGCTAAAAATCTAATTTTTAAGAAATCCGCTAAAAATCGGCTGGAATCCACGGAAATCCCAAATTTCTTTCAGATATCTACTCTATCGCATCCGACGGCCGATCCGTACGTGTTTGGCATAAGAACAACGGAGTGATGGCTCGCCAGCTAACAATTTCCGAAGAGAAGTCGTCAGTTCAGGCGATCCACGTGGCAAAGGAGAAACTATTCGTGGCAAGCGGCAGGACTTTGGTGGCTTACCGGTCGAGCGATGAGAAGCCACTAGAGACAGTAGTGGTGAAGAAAGAGAGATCATTCTCCGCTTTCTTCCAACTCGACGAGTCCCTAATCCACGTGTCAGCGCATCCAGGAGACTCCCATCTGGAACTAATTAAAATCAACGATGATGGCTCGTTTGACAGCCCGAGCGAGCTGAAAATGGAAGGATTTTCAGTGGAAAAGTGCCACGCACACTCCCAGTACATCTCTTGTCTCAAGGGATCTCAGCTTTTGGTCGTCGACGTTTTCAAACAAAAAGTGCACAAACTCCAATTGGATTCTGACCAATATCACTTGCTTCCAAGCACCGGGAAGCTCATCTTGACACGTGGCGTTGATAAACTCCACGTCATTGAACTGACTCCAGAATCTGGACTTCAAGTTAGAAAAACTGTCGATGTAACGTCTTCTGAAGCAGTAGGCGTCGCGGAAAACCACGAATCGATCGTCGTCGCGTCTTCTGAAGTTATTCGTGTTCTTTCCGTCAATTCGAATCATCACTCTTCAGCAAAACGAGTGAAAACGTCTTCAGAAAACGGAAAGATAATGGAGAACTCGAAACCAAAGAGAGTTTTCGCAAGAAAAAGTGAGAAGGATTGGGAAATTGTGCTGGTTGGAGAGGACTGCCGAATCGAGTTCGTCACTGTTGATGAGACATCGAATCTGGTCAACTCAGAATGGGCTAGAGAAGGTGAGGATAGGAAATTTGTTCTAAAAATACACAGAAAAAATTCAGAATCCCTCATCAACACTGTCTCCGTGGAGATGGTGGATCTTCCATTGTCCGAAAGTCAACAGATGATCGAGGACGAGTTTGAGGAGGCAGGAAACTTCTTCACCGCGTTCGCCCGTCGTATTCACTCCCAATGCGGTCAATTGGTCAGATTCTTCACCAAGAACGTTGAAAAAATCATCCACGTGGCGACGTCGATCTCCAGAGATGGCAATGGAGTGTCGGATTTCATCAATTCAGTGAGGACAGCTGGGCAAATGTAAATAAAATCGAATTTTTGTAGCCAGTTTTCATTTCTTCCTAATTTCAGCGGCTCTGCTTCGTCTGGACCATTCGAACGTGACTACTTCAACCTCAGAAAAGTGATCATTGTGGTCACTTCCTCAGGTACCGTGTTCGGTATCGACAGTGCCGATGGACAATTTTTATGGAAGATGTGGCTTGGTGACTCTTTTTCGCCATTGGAGAGTCAGTTGGAGCAGAAGAGAGTACCACTATTTGTGCAAAGAACCACAGCTCACTATCAGTTGGATGGGCTCGCTTCTGTTGTATTTAGTAATCAGGTAAGCTGCTCCGGATTTCCACGATCATCTCTACAGGTTTAGATCACCCGAAACGGAGTCATCGTGTCTTTCAACCCAATGATTGGAAAGGTGGAGTCTCGAAATGAGCTGGGCTATCCTGTCAAAAGAGTGACGGTTCTTCCAGTGCATACTAATAAGCATGTGTACCCATGATGTTAATTGGAAAGAATAATGAGGTGAGCAATTCGGAAAATACTAGAACACCGTATTTCTTCTGCCCTTGCGAACCGTCAACTTTGAGCTCAATTATCTGAATTCCTGTGATATCCAAATTTTCTAAACTTTTAAGTTATTTATCATAATATCACACAACTGTTATCAGTTGACACATTATTGATATCTTGCATAGGAATTGAGAAAATCGGGCTAAACGTTGGCGTTTCAAGTCTAGTACTCATTGCGAAAACTTCTAGATCAAAACCTTCCCATCGATCACATCTGATGAGCTCACCGCCACCACGTCTTCTCTCTACCTCTTGGATCTCCAACAGCAATCTGTTCAAGGACTGAAAATCGATATTTCTACACAGAAAATTCAGCCAGTCTGGCAAGGAAACTTAGGATTGACATCAGATGATGAGATTGTAGCTGTTAAGGGAAAATCCTTCAATCGTGAGTTTTGAAACGGGATGCCTCTAAAATGAGCTATTCTATTTCTTCAGAAAAAGTCCACTCCCAAGGACGAGTGTTGGTCACCCGCGAGGTCCAATACAAGTACGTCAACCCGAATCTGGCTGCTGTCGCTTCGATCAACAAAGCCAATCAGCATCTGACAATCACTCTGGTGGATATAGTCACCGGCCAAGTGGTTCATAGTGCTGCCATCGGAAAGTCTGCCAAGCCGATTCATTTGGTTCATTCGGAGAACTGGATTGCGTATACCTACTGGTCGGAAAAGGGACGTCGGACAGAGTTGGGAATCATCGAGTTGTACGAGGGATCCGAGGAGAATCATACTCAACAGGTATGAAAAAAAAAAATCGAGACACTAGGGTACCTGGAAATAACCATCAGAATCTGAGAATCCCAGAATTCCATAATCTGAGAATCCTAAAATCTCAGAATCCTAGAATCTCGGAATCTCAGAATCTCATAAACTGAGAATCCTAGAATTTTGGAATATCAGAATCTCAGGATTATAGAATCCTAGAATCTTAGAATCGTAGAATATCAGAATATCAGAATCTCAGACACTGAGAATCTCAGAATTTTAGAAACTCAGAATTTTAGAATCTCAGAATTTCAGAATCTTAGAATCTCAAAAAATCTCAAAATCTCGAAACCTCAGAATACTAGAATCTCAGAATCCTAGAATCTCAGAATCTCTTAACCTTAGAATCTCAGAATCTCATAATCTCAGAATCTCAGAATCTCATAATCTCATAATCTCAGAATCTCAGAATCTCAGAATCTTAAAATCTCAGAATCTCAAGATCTTAGAATCTCAGACTCTCAGAATCTCAAAATCTCAAAATAACAGAATATCAGAATCTCAGGTTTTTTTAGAACCTCAGAAATTTTAGAACCTCAGAATCTCTTAACCTTAGAATCTCGAAAAATCTCAGAATCTCAGAATCTTAAAATCGTAGAATCTCAAAATACTAGAATCTCAGAATCTCAACAACAAAGCTCAGAATTTCAAAATCTCAGAATCCCGTTTTAGAGGCACACGGACGTAATTTGTCTAGCATTGCTAATCTTTCCTAAACTTTCAGGAAACATTCGACTCGAAGATCGTCCAGAAGCTTCCTCCAGTGGTCGCCCAACAAAGTTACATCTACGCTCAAGGAGTGGACGCAATGAGTGTTTCAGAAACAGAACAAGGTCTGACCACTCGCTCCATCCTCCTAGCCCATCCCTCTGGTAACATTCACGAAGTCTCCCGACGTCTTCTGGATGCCAACCGCCCGATGGAGTTGACGCAAGCGATGCGAGAGGAAATGATGATTGGATACATGCCAGAGATCGCTGTGGCCACTGAGGAGATGATCAATTACAATCAGACAGTGCACAGAGTTCGAGGCATCAAGACAAGTCCATCCGGATTGGAATCCACGAGTTTAGTGTTGGCTTATGGAACGGATTTGTTCTTCACGAGGCTGGTGCCAAGTGGTACTTTTGATATTTTGAAAGTGAGGGATTGTGACCTAGTTCAAAAACCTCTGACATTTTGCTTTCAGGATGACTTCGACCATGTTCTAATTTCTCTGGTGCTCACTGGCCTCGTCGTCGGCTCCTACGTAACCAAACGACTCGCCCGTTCCAATGCTCTCGCCTCTCAATGGTCCTAAATCTCTCGTTCAAATTAATTCTAGTCGTTTTCCCTTTCTCTCCCGTGGGTGACAAAAACCTATTCGATCTTTCAAATCAGATGTTTCTTTTATTATAATAATTTAATGTTTGTTCCTCCCCTTTTCGCTCAATGCCTTCTTTTTTTTTAGTCTTTAGCGCCCCTCCCCTATCTGTCTCATTCCAAAGTTCAGTGATAAAATGCGAGTTTTTTGAAAAAAAATTGTATCAACATGAAAGCAAGCATGTCGGCTGGAGGGAAGTCAAGAAATAAATTATGAAATATTAGGCATAATTAAGAGCTACAGCAGAAAGGAAAAAAAACAAAATTAAAAGAGAAAAAAAAAATAAACAATTGCATATACCCACAGAGCATAGATCGGAAGGAAGAAGTTGATTTTTGGGAAAATTCGATTTTTTTTTACTTTCCATTTCTAGAACGAATCTGTTCGGCTTGCGATGAGATTTCGTTGATGAAGTTCTTGAAGGCGTTTGGATCCCGAAGGCACTTTTGGGATTTGTCTTGGAGATGGTACTTGCAGACGTCAACCCAGAGACGGGCGCAGCCGAGCTTCTTGTCCTTTCCGTCGGTGAATGAGAAGGTCAGCCAGTATTCGTTCTGGAAGACGTTGATTTGAGGAATTTTGAAACTCAAGGATTTCTAGAAAACTACGTTTTTCGTTTCGACCTTAAATGGGTCTACTTTAAAGGATACCATATTTCCTCTAACATTATATAATGCTCCCAAACCGTCTACTGTGAGTCTATATATCTCATTTCCTGTAAAAGATATCAAGAAGTGGTCAACGGACAAAATGTTTATCATAATATCAGCAACATTTTGTCAGTTGACGACTTTTTGAAACCTTTATCAGGTACCGAGATAAATCTGCTCAAAGTTAAAGGTGAGGGGACAAAAGATTTTCCGTAGTTTTTTGTAGCTAGAGTATGCATTCTACCGTCACGGTGTACAACTCTTAATGTCACTCTGCGTACAGCTGTCGTCCTCGCCTTTATGTATGCAATCGGGCGTGCGCCTTCTCTTTGCCCGCGTGGCTCAGTCGGTAGCGGCGCCGCACCCTCAATCATCGCCCTCACAAGTTCAACTCCTCGAGGGGCATCTTTGAACGGAATTTCGAGAACATTATTTTTTTCATGTCCCCCCACCTTTAAGAGATTGGCAGCCGGTGGTGTAGCTCAGCCGTCAAGCGCCGACTTTTCAATTTTGAGTCCATCTTAGTTCCTGTAGAAGATATCAAAAAGTTGTCAACTAACAAAATATTTTTAATATTATGATAAACATTTTGTTAGTTGAACACTTTTAGATACCTATTAACGGAAATGAGATATATGGGATCAAAGTTGACAGCTCAGGGTTGCGTTCTGTTAGAGTGTATACACCTTTACTTTGGCCTCAATGTCTCTGCTCTTGAATAACATGTAAAAAGTCCTGATTTACAATATTTCTGGCCTTGAGTTTTACTAATTTCATCAGTTGACTATTTTCCAATCCAATTATTACCAAGACCCATTTTTTAGTTGATTTTTGGCAATTTTGATCGTTTTCAAGAGTCTGGAGCTAGGCTGTCAAGTTTCCGATCACTTTGAAAATTGTAGAGGGTTTGAAACAGACCTAGATTTAAATCTTTGAATTCACAGAATTTTTGGAAAGTTTCTAGTTTTTCAGATATTAGCCGATTTCGGAAAGACACCTGTTTTTTTCAGTTTTTAGTACAAAAACGGTCCAAAAGGGGGTGTATTTCAGAAATCGGTAATAAGGAATTTCCAAAAATATCTGTGAATGCAAAATGTTCAATTTAGATCTGTTGCACATCCTCAAAAAATTTCAAAGTGATCAGAAACTTGACAGCCGAGCTCCAGACTCCTGAAAACGGTCAAAATCAACTGAGAAATTCAGATAACCACTAAATGGCCGGAAACCACATATAAAAACAAGCTCGACACCTACCGATTGAAGTGGTCCGAAGAAGGACTTTGGAAGATCCTCAGAACTGAAAACCTTTGAGAAAGTCATGGTCCAGTGTCCTTTTGGTGGTGGGCACAGCTTGTTTTGCTTCAAGAAATCGAGAGCCTTGCGGTCCTTGACGTACTTGTGGGCTCCAGAAACAGCCTCGTTGCACTTGTCGAGCATGTCGCAGTAGCGGCTGAAACAGATGTTGTTAGTTTAGAGGAAGTCTGTCTGTAGGATAAGATATTCGAAAAATCAATATAGTCAAACATCGGGACAACCAAAGCATGTAGGAAGAGAAGTTTACCATAAACACTCTAACCTTGAGCCTATGTATCTCGGTTCTTGTGAAAGATATCAAAAAGTGGTCAACTGATAAATTGTTTATCATAATATCATAAGTGTTTTGTCAGTTTACCATTTTTCAATATCTTGCATAGGAGTTGAGATAATTGAGCTCAAACTTGACAGAGTGTGGGGCCCTTCTTTTCCGCCTTGTCTGATATTTTACTAAATCAAACAAATGCTGAGCATTTTTTGCAGTTAATAAAATTCTTAAAATAGTTAGGCATATTTTCTAGATAATAAATCTGTCTACTAACCATGATCCAACTCCATCACATCCATCAATAATGTTCCATCCTTGGCATGGGATGACTTGCCATCCCTTGGATCCTTGCTTGTTGGTCACAGCGTGACGAACCTCCAAGTCCATCTCAATTTTGTCGAGTGGCAAGTCTTCCGACACATCCATGGTGACATTGAAGAAGATTGGTCCTGGGAATCGTGGGTAGTCTGGCCAGATGACAATGTTGGAGACGTTTACGACGTAGTTGGTCCACTGGAAGCAATTTTGGGAGTTTAAAAGATGACAGACTGCAAATCATACCTGTTCACTGGCACATCTGGAGAATTGCCATCCTCTGATTACAACTCCATGTGGTCCTGTCTGATACTTCTCCCAGAACGGCTGCACTCCGGGTACTGCCTCATTCCATGCTTTCGTCAGGGGATTCTGAGCAACTGCTGAGCCAACGAGGAGGAGTAGAAGGAGCATTACCTGAAATTTTAGAGTTTTAGGAGGCTGCTAAAAAGATGGTTCAGAAAATTAAGAAAATGATAAAAAGAGAAGGAAAAGAACAGGGCGAAATGATGGCACTACTACTCAATCCTCTAATCCGCCAAGAAACGAGATTATCATCGGAAAAAAAGAGAAGAGAAGAGGGTATCTTTCCAGTGAGTGATACCCACTTCTTATCCAGTATTTTCTGCCTGAATAAATGACACTATCATCTCTTGTGGCTATGTCTGTGTGTATATATTTGGGAAGAGAGAGGGAACTTGTTCTTTGAATAGAAAATGGTCAAAGGGATTGGAGGAAATCTAAGAATTCAAGAGGTTGGTGATTGCCACAGAGACATCCAGACCGATAGATATACTGAAACAAAACATCTTTCTGTTTGAAAGGTAGGAGAGTCATGACTCCCAAAATTATCATATAACCTGTAATAGAAGCGGTCTGAATTGTTAACTTTGAGCCAATTTATCTCGGTTTCAATGCTAGATATCAAAAATTTGTCTACTAATAAAATTTTGGTGATAAGATGATAATCATTTAGTCAGTTGTTCACTTCATGGTATCTTTCCCAGGAATCGAGATATATAGACTCAAAATTGAAAAGTCGTCTTGACTTAACGGCTGAGCTACACAGTCGACTGCCGATCTATAAAAGACATCAAAAATAGGTGGCTAAAGCTTAAGTTTTGCAGTTGATAATTTTGTAGTGATTCATCCAGGGTATCAAAAATTGAAAATTCTTGAAAAGAGATTTTCTCAAGGGTTGTACTCACTATCCAAAGTGACATACCGTAAACAATCGAACGCCACATAATTAGTTAATTTTGAGCCAATTTATCTTGCTTCCTGTGACAGATATCAATGCCTTGCAAACTGATAAAATGTTCAACCAATGCTTTATCAGTTTACATAATCTTGACATTTTTTGAAGGAACCGAGATAATTTAGCTCAAACTTGACAGTGTGGGATCTTCTTATTACAAGTTTTACCGTATTTTCTACTTCTTTTTTTCCTAAAACTAAACAAATTGAAAAAAAAGAATAGCTAATGACAAAAACATCTGCTTCTCCTGTTTCCTGTTTTTTATATCCCACCCTCTTCCATTTCCCCCCTGATTCACCTTAAAAGTGATCAATTCGGACACTCGAGCGATCGCTTCTCTTAGAACTATACTAACATAGATGCATACGTAATGGCCATTCACTTTATCTATAGTCAAAACCCACACAGAGAAAACTAGAATGGATGGTTTCATAATATCAAAAGGAAAAAAAGAAAGTGATTCAAAGATCATTAAAGATGGAAACGCCCACTTTCGTTATGGATGAGAGATAAAAAGGAGTAGGAGTTCAAACAGTCATATTGATGGGTACGGGTGATACGGAAAAGTGCAAACACGGAAAATCCGGAAGTAATTTGTAGATATTAAAAAAAAATGTGACCAGAAAATCAGTTTGCAACGGGAGTCTGAACCTTTGGAATTATGAAAAATCAGATTTTTAGCGATAACCCATACTGTCAAGTTTGTGCTCAATTATCTCAATTCCTATTGAAGGTGAGAAAAAAACTGTCAACTGATAAAATGTTGGTGATATTACACAGAACAATTTATCAGTTGAGAACTTTCTTATATCGTTGACAGGAGCCAAGATAAATTGGCTCAAAGTCAAAAGCTAGGGGGCTTCTATTACAGGTTTTACGGTTTCTAAAAAGTGGGAACTTCCAAAGCTGTCTAATTCAAAAAATTTTCAAGAATTTGACCATTTCAAAATAGAGTGTCCTGTCACTTCAAGCTAAAGTGGACACACAAGATGCTCCGCCCTTTTTTTTGTCAAAACTCCCAACTAGATATGCTAAATCTACCTGAGGATCCGGAAAGTATACAAAACCTACACAGGAAATACGAGTGAAGGATAGGTAAACCAGGAAAGGAAGGGAAAGGAGAAGAAGGAGAAGAAGACGAGGGGAGGATTTTGAAATATAGGTCACGGCCCCCATTCGGGTAAGAAGACGTACACGACGCGCAGATCAGTCAAGGGCAACCAAATGATGATGTGAGTGTATATGTGTGGGTAAAAGTCTTCCAAAACGAATCGTACAGTTTGGAAAATAGAGAAGGATAGGGTAGAATAGGATAGGATCAATGACAATAGATTAGAAAAGGGAAAGGGTATGTTGTTATTGGGAATTCAAAATAGAGATCACGAGGATTTATATGCAAAATAAGTACAATTGAATACGAGGAGACGGATCTTGTGATCTAGAAACGTTCGATTCTCAGGTTTACAGAAAGCTTACCGGAACTAGAGGATCTGCCTATAGACCGACACAGAAGACTCCAATGCCTGAAATCTGCAAGAGTTGGATAAATACACTGGTACGATGTGTTATCATTGCTTTGGTCTTTTTCGTTTTGCTAACGTCGTAGCTTAGCTTATCGTCGGAGATAAGATGCGTAGGGTTCGCTAAACAGACCGACATGCGGACATCTAGACAAACAGACACATGGATATTAATTCATTAATTCATTTACCAAACTGGTCAAGTTTCAAATTCTTTGATCAATTTTAAGCTGAGTTATCGCTTGTCAAAGTTGCTTCATCCCATACATAACGACATGCATGAAAGATTACACCGTTCCATATCAGACTATCATAAAAGTACCTAGACTTGGGGACTTATTTCTAGAATTTCAGTAGTTTTGAATCAAATGTAAAATTACATTTCTACCAATTCTCCTGCTTCCGAGATTCTTAGTTCTAGAGATATACCCTTTTTTATCAGTCCGGGTTTTTGTGCGCCATCCTGTACGGTAAGTTCTCTGAAATGTTCATAAGGCAAAGTTCTCAAATTTTACATTCAATTCTCTGAAACTTTGGTCCAATTTCATGACCTTCTTCCCTATCAGTTCATCTATCATTCAGGCGATAACTTGTTGTTGTAAACCCCGACCCACACATTTTTATTGATTTTTCATCTATCTCATATAATGAAACTTCTCCTTATTTTATTAGCTGTTTCTCTGGAATTTGGTTTGTTTTCTTGACACCTATATCAGAAAAATCCTCTAACTTTTCCAGCCATCTCTCGATCCCTCACAGATTTGGTCTGCAAAATTAATCCGCGGAGATGTGAAGATTTTAAAGGAAACAATTCGAGACCAAGGGGAGAAGAGGGGCGAATACATCATGAAAGTCCGCTGGGAGGGCCATCTCTAGCAGAGTTTCAGAGATGGAATAATTATGAAGAGACTGCTCAGGGGACCGGATTTTTGAGACCAGCATCCGGGACAAATCCAGTGCCATATGGGGAAGGTAAGTTTGGGTTCCCAATCTACCGTAAACGCTCTAATAGAGTCGTCTTCAAATCGTCAACTTTGAGCTCATATATCTCGATTCCTACGAGAGATGGAAAAAATTGCAACTGATGGCTTAATACTTAACATAATACCAGCAACATTTTATCAGTTGACAGCTTTTTTATATCTTATACAGGAATCGAGATAATTAAGCTCAAAGTTCACGATTTTAGTGCACTTGCATGGTAATAAAGCTTGAATTAACTTTTAAAGGCCAGACTATTATTCCTTTTGTCGACATTGATATCCATTATCTGAGTTCCCATAGAGTATAATATGTTTTTGAAAGCCTAACTAAAAACAACTATAATCTTTTGGAGTTACACTCCTTTCTCTTATTGCCGTAAAACCTGTAATAGAAGGGCTCCCCAAGTTTGAGCCAATGTATCCTGTTAAAGATATTCAAAATGTATTAATGGACAAAAAGTTTTTGATCTTATGATGAACAATTTATCAATCGACCACTTTCTTATATCTTTCACAGGAATGGAGAATAATTGGGAGTCCTTCTATTACAGTTTTTTACGGTAAGTAGCTCCCGAAATTCCAGGCCTCGGTGACATTGGAATCTACACTGGCGTCGGTGTTCAACACCCATTCGGAGGACTCGGAATAGAACGAAACTTTGGAATCGGAATGGGTGGAAACGGAAGAATCGGTGGAGCTCCAGTCGGATGGGGAAACGGCGGAACCCGAAGTGTTGGGTCAGCACCATGGGCGAATCCATAAATGATTGCTGATTTGAATAAAAAAGTGATAAGCTTGAAGAGATTGAATGATTTATGAAACTTTGAAAAAAAAAGTTACCCATATCAATTCATTAGTTTCCTTATCATGTCAATCTCTGCTTGAATGAACAACTGCCCAATTATTTTTCTTTTTTATAAAGGCTATTTTTACCCTAGTGCCAAAAATACCATTCTAAATTGAGAAGGCGCTCCCTTGATCCCAAGATTATCCGGATTTCAGTACCCAAGACTCTTCCGCAGGATGAATTTGCAAAAAAAAAGTTTTCCCTCTGAAAAAAAAAGGAAGAATTGAATAATAATGTAAACACTGGAAGTGTTCAACTCTTCAATATTTGTCCACATAGGGTTCCTCTCCTTTTTCTCTCTCTCTCTCTCTCTCTCCCTTTTTCAAAATCAATAAAACCATCCCCAACCAATTTTTCTCTCGCCCACTCTCTCCAATCCAAACAGTCTCATCTCCCAGACGTCTGATCGTCTAAGTCTCTCCAGGTAGACCCTATCTCTTGCGTTACTTCTCTCATCGGGGTTGATTATTTGCTCAAGAATCGAATGACCCAAAACGTTTTTGGCTTTGTGTTGTTATATATTCTTACAACACATCCCCACAAAAAGTTATTTACCAATTTTTTAGAATTTTGAGATTTTCGAAGATTTTAAGTTTTAGGTCATGTTTATTGTTTATATTTCCCTTTGATTTGTTTATGATTAGGGAAAGTTGTGAAATTGAATCTTGTGATTGGCATAATTTTTTGTTTCAAACTATAATGGATTTCCTCTCAGCTAGATTTTTTTTAAACATAAAACCTTTAATAGGAGGGAAACCCATACTGCCAAATTGAAGCTATTTTTTCTCGATTCCTTCAAAAGATTTCAAAAAGTTGTCAACTGATAAAATGTCAGTGATATTATAAACATTTTATCAGTTGACAACTTTTCAATATCTCTCACAGGAGCCGAGATAAATTATCTCAAACTTGACGGTGCCCATGTATTACAGGTTTTATAGCATTTGGTTTTCATCTTCAATGGAAAGCTATAATGACAGCAATTATTATTTGTGTATTCTGAAAAGTGTCCGTTTGATTAAATCCAAAACGAATTTCTTTTTTTTTTTTGAAAATCGGTAAATGTCCCCCTAATTTCTTTTTTCGTCCCTCTTATTTCCATTCTTCATTTTTTTATGGCCTATTAACCACCTGGCCATTTATGAATCCAAAATTTCGAAATGTTATGTTGCCCATGTTTAGATTTTATGTCTCTCTAGTAATGGTTTTCGATTTTTCTATCCCCAAACCGAACACTTTATAGGTTAATTGGTTAGAGAGAGCATTTCGAAATCCCATACTATTTCCCTTCAATTATTTCTCTTTTTCCCTCCAATCAATCTGTAGTTTGCTTCCCAATCACGTTTTTACTATATTATTTTCTATCCAATTTGTTTACTACTGAGCCCATGATAATTACAGACTGTGCCTGCCGCTTTAATTTCCGTTATACCACAAGAAACCTTATGCCACATCTGTGGGCGGTTAACTAGATTTTTGGTCGATATGTGAAATATCGGAAAACTTTGTTTAATATCAGTCATAAGACTGAAGCTACAATAAACAAGAAAAAATTGGCATCTAAAATTGTACAAGATGTTTTATGTTCGCTTTTGCTTTGGATCTATTTCTTAAAGCTTCCTTGTAGCTCTATTTTTGTGGTTACTGTATCGGTTCAGATATGTTTCATCCTTGTTTCTAAGTCTATCTGAATGTCTGTTTATCTGCATATCCACATGTTTCAATCAGGGACTAATGGTTACCGTAAACACTTCCTGTAAAAGTTATCAGAAGTTGGTCAACTGACAAAATGTTCATCATAATATCAACAACACTTTATCAATTAACCAATTTTTTGATTTCCTTCATAGGAACCTAGATATATGGGCTCAAAGTTGACGGTTTGTGTGGTCTATGTTACAACGTTACGGTAGTTCAGAAGGTACAGAAGTTTTTGAAGACATGGACGTTAGAACGTTTTGAAGTTCATCTGAAAGAGTCTTGTCACTTTGTACAGAAGCCTACTTACTTGTGTCTACTTTGTTTATCTAGATGGTCCATGTACTGTACCGCTCAGAGAGTAAAATTTTAGTTGAAAGTAATCACTGTATTTCCTCTAATAAAGGAGCTCTCCAAAACCGTCAATTTTGAGCTCAATTATCTCGATTCCTGTGAGGGATGCCAAATTTTGTTAAACGTTAAATGTATCTCTCACAGGAATCGAGAAATGTGGGTTCATAGGTGACGATGTGGGTGGGCTTCTATTGGAGGAGTTACGGTAGTTTGAGGTGTTCGGAAAATTTGAAATCTACTCATCAAAACAGATTCTGGCAGTTGACATCATTCAGGATTTCCACCTAACTCCAAACAACCTTTTCCTATTTTCATGTGCATATTCTTTTCTCTCTTTTCAACCTACATCATCTTTCTTTTCTCCTCTTGTGGCTCCCTCTTATGCTCCCCTCCCCCAGGGTTCTCCCCAACGGGTTGTGCTCTCGGTTGCTATGATAATTTTAATGTCTCTTATTTGTCTCTCTCGTGTCTTTCGTCTTTTCCACTTTTTTCTCTTCTCCGTTTTTCTATATTTCATTTTTCTTGTTTTCGAGTTTCCTGCTCTTTTTTTGGAGTCGCCTCCTCTTCTTCTCTTTTCTCCCTCTTTTTTCGTTTTTCACACAACCATCATATTTGTTATTAGTTGTCATTTACTTGCTAGAAATATACAGAAAGTCACATGAGAAAAGTCTGAAAAGGGGGCTGAAAAAAATCATGACACCATTATTCAGGCCCCCAGTTACAATCTCAGGCAATTTTCTCCTCATTCTATTTGGTTTCAAATTGATTTTCCTTCTTTTCCAGAGTCTCTGAAATATGTACACATGAGGAGAAATTAAACCCAATACCACTTTGTGCCAAAATAATGATCCACGTCGACCAAATCTTCGGATACTCCATCGTTGTGTTGGCGGCAGCCCCACTGGCCACCCAGTTGGCTATTGCAGATATACGGTAGGTGTGGAAGAGTCTATATATCTCGGTTCCTGTAAAAGATATCATAATGTGGTCAACTGATAAAATGCTTGTCATAATATCATTAATATTTTCTTAGTTGACCGCTTTTTGATATCTTTCACAGGAATCGAGATATACGGGCTCAAAGTTGATGGGTTAGGAGGCATTCTATTAGAGTGTTTACGGTATTCAGTCCTACCCAGTGTATCCTATCAACTCGGCTTTGAGATGACCTGACTTTTGCTAGTTTGGTTTTCTAGGCCACCAAGTAAAAATGACCTAGATGGTCTGATATTCACCTAGTGTGTTTTTGGGTCATTTTGAAGTGGTGGTCCAATTTTTTCAAGATGGGGTCTAGGCTACCAATGGCTTAGAAGTGACTTTACATACCCCTGGTGTGTTTACTAGGTAGGCTTGAATTGGTGACCTAACTTTTGAAAATTCAATTTCTTAGGTCACCACGGTTGAATGACCTAGAAAACACGCCAGGTGAATATCAAATCATTCCTAGGGCCACTACCATGGTGGCCTGAAACCCCAACATGGAAAAGTTAGGCCACCACTTCAAAATGGCCAGAAAAGTGTAAAAACGGACAACCTGACGTCTGGATGAACTTTCAGATGGGTATTCTTCTTCCCCTTATACGCTATCCCTGCCATTAGTCTAATGATGATAGTTGGCCATCTCTCCAAATCGGCTCCAGTTCAAACCTTCCGAAAATTGGCACCAATTTCTGCAGGTACTCGTTTATTAGTCAATTACCTTTATAACTAATTATCCCAGGTATCGGATGGGCACTAACCTGGCATGTAGCCGAACGTCTGTACTCTGAAAGTCTCCGTGGTTCACAGAATCTGCTTTACATGCTCTTCTCGATTCGACCCACACTGACCTGGGCGGTCTCATGTGGGCACTCTTATAATTCTGAGGTGCGGAATTTCAAACTTTCTAAACATTTACCTTGAGGTTATTCCAATTTCAGTACTGCCACGATCTGAATGATAAAATGAATATTTCTGTTACCCAAGATGGTAACCACCATTATCCAGACAACTTTTGGCCAGCTCAGGAGTTCAATAAGTGAGAATCTTATGACCTTTTTAGTTTTGAGACAAATTAATCTTCCAGATTCCTCATCAGACACAACCCGATCCCAACGAGCATGCCCCCGAAATGGCGTGCAAACACTTGGTATCTCGGTCACCCCGAAGAGGAATTCGATTGGGCGATCCCCTCAGTCCCACTGGTTGCCTCACATGCAGCCACGTGGCTCTTGATCGTCTATATCTTATCCAAGCACTACGATCGTCTTGGAGACATTCTGTTCAAAGTGTTCATTACGGTACCGGCTGTGTTGTACATGACAGTTCTCATCGGGTTAACTGGATTAGGATTTCACTTTAGAGCTGGTACTATTCTGGCAGAATACACAGGTGATCTCATGATCAATAAAGATGCCACTGACTTCTGGGCGGATATTACGGTATTTGAAGAGAGCAAGAGGGTTTTATATCTCAATCTGAGCTTCCAGGGAACCTTCCGAACCTCGATCCTTATTGTTGACTACGCATCTGCCTTCACTGGGTTCGTACTCCTGGCAACTAGTCGATTGAGAAGTGGGGTCAACGGACTTAGTGCTCTTATTTTGGTTCCTCTGTTAATGGTATTCTTCTTGTTTTTGGAATACCTAACGTAACTCATTTCCAGCTTGTCCCTACCATGCAAACAATTCTTCGTCTCGGATGTGAAGGACATCTAGCTGATGTTCAACCGTTTTACAAAATTTATGCTTCTACAGACGAAACTATATCTTTCGACCTACTTCCTGTCTGCTTTGCCAGCTCACATTTCGGATCGGTGTTTTCCGCTTTGTACTTTGCGGCCCAGTACCTGTACACTTCGCTGGGTCCAATGGTGCGTGCATACCGTATCTTGGGTTGTGATCTTTAAGCTCAATTATCTCGGTTCCTGTATGAGGAATCAAAAAATGGTCAACTGAAAAATTTTTTATCATAATATCACAAATATTTTATCAGTTAACAGATTTTCATATCTTTTACAGGTGTCGAGCTAATTGAGTTCAAAGTTGACGGTTTAGGGCTGCGTTCTATTAGGAGCCCACCCAACCTGTTCACTTTGAGCTCAATTATCTCGATTCCTGTAAAAGATATTAAAAACTTGTCAACTTATAAAATGGTGATGATTTTGTGACATGCATTTTATCAGTTGACAGATTTTATATCTTTTACAGAAATCGAGATAATCGAGCCTGAAGTTGATAGTTTGAGTGGGCCTCAATTGAATTGTGTTTACGGTAATGTGGTTCCAATAACTTCAAAATTACAGCTTGTCTATGTGACATTCATCTACCAAGCCTTCATTGATGACTTCCCAATGGTTCAGAACTCTCCGAAGAAATGCGTTGGGATGATCGCATTAGCTTTCTTCATTCCATCAATATTCTTGTACATGCCGGTTAGTTAAATCTCTCAAGCTCTCAGCACTTAGGCTTATCTTCCAGCTGGGCACTCGAATCGCCGCCTTCTTCCGTTACACCTCTCAAACTTGTTTCGTGGAAGTCGCGATCTTCGTCCTTATCTTCTTCTTTTATGGATGGCAACGCCTTGAGCAAGATGTTCTAATGACTTCTCAGAGTCCAGCGCGCCCATCGCTCGTTGAATACTTCACTCGTCCAACAAGCCCAATCTTCACATTTTTACAGTTCACTATTGTTCCAATGCTCCTTTTCGTAAGCCATCTAAGGGAACATATAATAATGAGAGTTTCAGGCCAAGTTCGTGGCTGTATTCGATTACATCCGAATGGGAGGCGATGTGAATGTTCATGTGGATTCTGGTGTCGGGTTCCTTCCTCTCCCATTCTATGTTAGACGGTTTATTGGGTATATGATCACATTTGCACCTGTTATGATTATGGGATTGGGTGCCGCACTCCAATTATTTCAATTAGTGCACAAGCATGGATTACCATGGTCCGATACTATCAAGGTGGGTTGAGCTTGTTGCCATGGACACTCTGGTCTAATTTTAATGCGCGTTGAAAAATTGGAAGTTGGGCGGAGCTTATGTCCGGTAGCGAAATCCTTAAAGGCGCAAAAAAGGAGCATGCGGGTTTTTAATTATTTTCTGGCCTAGTTTTTTTCTTTTTATAGAAAGTTCAATCGCAAAAATAGGTTTGAAAAAATTGACAAAATTGCATGCACCTATAAATACGCCTTTAAAGATTTCGCTACCGGACCTAAGCTCCGCCCACTCTTTTCGGCATTGAATTTAGACCAGAGTAATACCAAGGAAACAAGATGGGTTAATGTGAAATAAAGAAATGGATTAGCTAAAAATCCTATCTTTCAGCCATCACCAGAATGGATGGCTCATGCATCGGTGAATCCCAACAAACCACGAGTCCACTCGCTAGCTTATGGAATATACAGAAAGTTTGTATTCAAACACATCTCGTATAAGACGGCTATGTTCACTTTGTTCATCGTGGAAACCTTCAATGGAATCGTTCTAGTCGTCCTGTTCTTTTTGAACACTGCAGCTACGATAGACTTTAACAGAACAAACAGACGGACGGCAAATGAGTATCGGAGTTTGATGTTGCTGATTTTCTCCAGTCTTCACACCTATGCTCTCTATCAAATGAGACAAGGAATGCAATATGCACAGATTAATGGGGAGAAGTAAGATTTTGAAGATGGATCTTGAGATCATTGATTGATTTTCAGACTATCCCTCTACATTGGAGTGGCCACTATGGAGATGGCTATGCTCAATGCTTACATGTGGCTGTATGGAGAGAACCACCGTTGGGGAACCGATTGGCCACCAATCATAGTGGCATTGGGCATCACTTGTAAGAAAATCATTCTGGAATATGTTCCATGGAAATATAAAAATTGAAGGCCTCCGTGGATTCTTCATAATGCTCACCATTGCCATTCGCGCTCACTCCATCGAACACAGCCGTCCGTCAAACACCCGTGAAGCTTCTGAAGTTGATCCAGAAGACTTGGCGAGGGGAAGTGCGGATGAGGGGGCCGAGAACGATGGTGACGAGGAAGAGGACGATTCGCCGGTTATTTTTGATCTTGCTGTTTGAAAAAACACTTTTACTTAATAATTTTCTATATCATACTGTATATGTATATTTTCCTGTGTTCCTCGCCAAATGATATTTGTCATGTCTCATGAATTTGTACGTTTTTAAAATAAAAGCCACCCCAATAGCTGAGACTCTGTTGCCAAGGATACGGATTCGTCAAGACACACTAGATTTGTTCCAAGTTCTGAGAAAATTTCGAAAGAATAAACAAGCTGAGACACCTCTCATTTTGGGCCAAACTTACCGTAAAACCTGTAATAGAAGGGATCATGCTCACTCAAGTTTGAGCTAATTTATTTCGGTTCCTGTAAAATATATCAAAAGTTTGTCAACTGATAAAATATTTATCATAATATCACTAATGTTTTATCAGTTGACTACTTTTTCATGGCAGGAAAAGAGATGTATTGTCTCAAAGAGAAAAGTACGAGTCTTTCTAAATATTACAATTTTTCCGGAAATGGGAAAAGCTCCAAAAATAAAACGATTTTTTGAATCTAACTATTCTCAAATTTTTCAGTTTTCCCGCTCAAAAATACTGACACTCGACAACTTTTGTGTTCAAATCTGAACGAAATAGATCTTGAATATCTTTGGCTTCTTCTCGGACACATGTTCTCCTAACATACAAATGTCACTTATCACGGATCACACCAGAAAAATTTCTACTAGTTGTAAAGTAAGACGTTCTTTTATTGTCCTCTCATACTCTTGAAAATTTTTCAACTAACCGATCAAAAGTGAAACTTCCCTTGTTTTCCAATCCCCCTTCGCAAGATCAGAAATTGTTAATCACGCGTCTTAAGGAGAGATTATAGAAAGCTCAATTCATGTTTCCCAGGTACACACACCTTAAAGGGGGGGGGGGGGACATGAAAAAAATAATGTTCTCGAAATTTCGTTCAAAGATGCCCCTCGAGGAGTTGAACTTGTGAGGGCGATGATTGAGGGTGCGGCGCCGCTACCGAATGAGCTACGCGGGCAAAGAGAAAGCGCACACCCGATTGCATACATAAAGGCGAGGACGACAGCTGTACGCAGAGTGACATTAAGCGTTGTACACCGTTACGGTAGAATGCATACTCTAGCTACAAAAAAACTACGAAAAATCTCCTGTCTCCCCCACCTTTAATCAAAAGGATAATTGAAAACCTCCATACAAACTCGCCCATTCTCATTATGCCATTAACGCCATCTGCCACACCTTTCATCAGCTTCTCAGTATCTTTTTTCGCAGCCGTCTTCCTCACCTACTTTATTTATATAGAAACATGTTTTATTGACTTTTTGTTTTGAAAATGTTGTACATTCAAATTTGATATACTGGTCCCAATTACGACCAGGATCTCTTGACTGTCCGAAGTTATGGTATGGGCAAATTGCTGGATCCAAATTTTGGTCTTTAAAAACCAGCTGTCACATGTTCTATAGATTCAGAGGACAATAAAGATTGTTCTGCAATAAATATTTTATTAACTCCAAGAAGCATTCTTTGTGAGATCAAAAAGGACAACTTTAGCCAATTTGGAATCAACTGACTGTTTTCAGAAAAGCACATAAGACTTAGAAAAGGATCGGGAAAGAGAAGCGAGAGATTGTAGATAATAGAGAATTTGGAATTCCAGAATGCTACAAGAGAGGAAGATGATAGCGAAAAAGAGAATAAACAGAATTTAGGCCTTGATTCCCTTTTTGAGATGTTCGAAGTCGTTGAGAAGATCCTTCGACTCGCGGAGAATACGCTCCAGTTCCTCTTGATCCTTCTTCTGCTGCTCCTTCATCAGTTCGAGAAGAGTCTTCTTCTCTGGGACCTGAAAATTTGGATTTCTTGGTTTCTCAAGATTTCCTAACTACCTGATCATCGCCTAACAAGCACTTCATGTCGACAGTATCGTACTCTGGAATCGGAACCGTCGACGTCGAGAACTCCTCGTTGACTTTGATGACGATCTCGCGAAGTTCCGAGTTGTTCTTTCGAATCGCTTTGAGAAGATCCGAGCTTTCAGTCATCATCTCT